GCAAAAGGGATGCTGGCAGGGCTGCCACCATGGATGCTCGCGGGCGGCACCCCGGCTCACGTGCCCCGTCTGCTCAGGGATAGCCAGGGACATGGAAGTCATCTGGAGGGGACTCCCCTCCCCGAGTGACGTCATCATACAGTGCCCGGACAAGGAGGGCGGGGCCATAGAAGGCGGGCGCTTTAAAGGATGCCCGGAAGGAGCAGGAAGGGGAGGAGACGCTATGGCCGGGAGAGAGGAGCCCGGTGCGGAGGTAGCGGCGTCTGTAGAAATGGAGGAGACTGTCGCTGAAGCAACCAGCCCGGCGAGGAGGAGGAAGTGACCCAGGACGGGGTCGGCAAGCCACGGCAGCTCCTTGACCAGATCCCAAGGGTTGGTGAGTTACGGGGGAATCCCCACCAACCAGGCAGCAACTGTGCGCCGCTGCCTTAGGGTCCTGGGTCGGGACCCAGAGTGAGGGCGGGCCCGGGTCCCCCTCCTCCCTCACGGTCTTCCCATAGCGCCCCGGGAGACCGAGACTCAGGGAGCTCTTAAACGGGCTTCGGATCTTGTGTTGTTGCGCTGAACCGTTGGAGTTTGTTAAGGAGACATGGGTGGGGGGAAGGTGCGCAGACAGGTAGCCCCGATGATGACAGGGCTATAAGCCTGAGGGGCGGCCTGTCCCGTGACAAACATAAACAGCAGCAATGGAAGAGGAGAACCTCGAGGTAGCTTACATTATCCCAGCTCTTGGGGAACTGAGGAGGTGGATCCAAAATGGCTCCTCAGAAAGAAATATTTTGCCCATAAAGGAACCTGAAGGCTCTAGGTTCCTCCTGCCAATGGTCCTGGGAGAGCTGCAGACGTATTACTTGAGTTAATATGGTATTTTCCTTGATTTGGCTGAGGCATCACATTCCCTCTCTGGCCCTCACCATGGTGTCTAGTGTCTCTCCTTATCCCTTTGTGTTTGTCAGCATTTGTGATGTGAAAGATTACTATAAAATAAGATTTTTAAAATCATAAACCCAGGCATTTACCTTCAGTTTGTAGTTAATGCTTCTGTTTCACTAGGTCTTAAAGGTCTAGTATGAGGTCTATTAAAAATAATGTATTTGTCCTAACTTTTGTAGCATGCATACCACAAAAAGAGCTACAGAACAATGTTAGCCATGTAAGTTTTCTCATGCTGTCCTGCCAACTTATTTCAATACTCCGCAGGAGGAATATCTTAGTAAGAAGTTAGGCCTTTCAGTCTGTGGCTTTCTTTTGACATGGCCAACAAGAAGGCAACTGTAAGGGTTTTTTGTGATTCACCACCAACCAACACTAGGAGCTACAATTAGGCTGCTAACTCATTTTACACAGGTCACTGAAGAGACAGACAACAATGCCTTTTGGTCACTACTAATATGTGCTACATTCAGAGCAGTGACCTAGAGGTCAAATGTTCTCTACTTCATTACCTGTTACACTATGCTCCAAGGTCTCATTTTTTGTAAGAATTACTTTGAAACTTTGGATACCATAGGCAACAAGAATGTGAAAAACATGTGAGGCAAGTATAATTATCAAAAAAGACTGACACCAGAACTATTTCTCTCATTCACATATATACACAGTAATTTCCCCATTAATCCAACAGGGTTTCAACAGCTAGACATCATTCCTCTGCTCTCTCTCACCAAGAACCTCGAGCACCAGTTCCTTTTTTTTCAATCTGACAAAAAAGTATCTTATTTCTTCCTTCACAAACAATTATAAAGATGCTGTAGAAACAGTTTCTGTATAATAAAAGCATAACTTTAAGTGAATTTCACAAGTTAGTGGGGAAAATAAACAACTTTAGTGTACATTATTGCCTTACACTATATATAACTCTTTTTCTATACCTTTGACTTGAAATGGAAGGATATGTCTATGTCTACCCTACAGGACAAATTTGAATTGAGATACGCAACTTCAGCTATGTTAACTGCGTAGCTGAAGTCAAAGTAGCTTAATTCAGCTTTTGGCGCTTTTTATAGTGTCTTACTCCTCATGAAAGCAGGGTTACCGGTATCTATCAGGGTGCCCCCCTCACTTCAAATTAGCTGTCCTAACTAGACCACTAATTCGAACCTTTGATGATTGACAGTGGCAGCTTCAATCTTACTCTGTAGTACAGACATACCCAAAGATTTTCTAAATAATTAACTTAGTGAATTTACCATTCCCAAGCCATTTCCACTGCATCCTATAGTACATACACATAGCTAACACATGCTAGTCTATAAAACTGCTTCCCAGAAAGATGTGTCTTGTTATGCTAAAGAAATACCAAAGTCTTAAACTACTGATTTAGTGAGCACTGCACATGGATTCTGGTTTGCATATCAAGCTTCTAAAATCAACTAGTGGACATTACTCAGTAGTTCACAACACAGAAGACAAGGGAAAAAACCTGAATTAGCATTTAAATATTGCAACAGTTGTGTTCCTGGGAAGATGTTATAAAATGTGAATCTATCCCAGGAAGGTAACTGGCAAGGGGTAAACTGAAGGAGCGATAGAATACTTTAGTGAACAGAGCACAAGCCTGAGAGCTGGTAAAATTGGGTTCTAGTCCAAGCTCTCACACTAATTTCATATGCTGCTTTTGCCAAAATCATTTGACCTCACAGTAATTCAGTTTTCCCACCTGTGAGACTCATTATAATTAGCCATCTTTATAAAGTGAGTTGAGATTGCAATATAAAGTCAATACACGCAGCAAGTTCGTTCCAGTATTAAAGATATTACTGTTTCCAGGAATATTATCTCAGCTCAAAATGGGGAGTGTCACCAGAGCTTTTAATAACTCTAAAACTAGAATAAATATTTTATTTACATATGGGCTGATATTCACAGTGCTGGCAATTGGCATAGCCTGCTAGAGGGGTGGGATATGTAAAGCACTCTAATGTGATGAACTTTACCTATCCTGGGTAGACACTGTGGGCACACTTTAAAAAGTACCTTTGAAACCCAACTACATTAATGTGAGCTGTGTACCTTTTAGAATACAGCAACAGGGTCTACCTGAGACAGTTAGATTGCAGCATGTTGGAGCAATTTACATATCATACATCCCTCCGGTGTACTTTGCCAGTGCTAGAAAGAAAAAGATGTATAGTACTAAAATATGGTATCAGTCCTAGAATAGGACAATGGAGCAAAGTAGTGGCAGAAGTTGTTCAAGTATAAACAAGCAAAGGTAAGCAATGAAATGGGATAAAACACATTTGAAGTTTACACAACATGTGAAGTTTCTTTCACCAAAATGTCTAAGTGAATCTGTGGAAGGGCAATAGAGATTTGTCAGAAGAGAAAGCCCTTCTATCCCTCATCAATGTCACCTTTTGAGGCTTACACAAATCTCCATCTTCAGTGATTCACTATTTAAACTGTTCCAGTATGACTCATAACGCAAAATGTTCAGCTAAGAACACAACAGAAGCAAATTTTGTAGCTATAGTTTTGCTCACTTTCTATGGCATTCCACTACATACTTAGACCACTGCTTTATAACTGATACTATGTGAACTCCAGTACACTAAGACTTCTTTTTTCTTGGATTTACTTGTTGCATTTTCTCTCCATTTAATTTTTTGATACAGCTCTGTTTCTTTGACAAACTTAGTTGTGTATTTTAGCTTCCAGTAAACATAGCTGGATTTGATGATATCTATTCAGCAAAATTATCACATAATTCCTCAAGAAAACCTTCTAGACAAACACTCTAGTCAAATAGAAATTTGAATAACTGTAGAAGGCCATCAGAAATCGTGGTAATGGTTTTCAGTTCGTATTGTGGCAACCATCTGTCACAGTTTGCAGCCAGGCAACTCTACAAGATATACAATTAAATACAGAAAACCAAGTTCATATGCAATCTTTGGTTCCTCAAAATAGTACACAACACAGCTAGGGGTTGAGTTTCATGTTTGGGAGAATGAAAAATCCTGCCAAACAATTATCATATTTTAGTCTGTCAGGAAAACAGTCCCACCAGGGCTCTTGAGGACATCACACAATCCATTCCTTTCCACTAGAAAATAAATATATACTTCAGGATAAATCCTTTGTTCTACATCCCCAATTTAAGTCTGGGGGACCTTTTGGCAGTAAAACTAGTGCAATTGAACTGGTCAAAGAATAGTAGTGAAGATCTGAAGAGCTGTATAGAGGTGATACATGCTCTAATTTTCTACTCTGACCCCTTTCAGTAGAGCAGAGTTTGGATGCTACTCCAACCAATAAAATGTTTTAGTACACAGACAGGGGGATTCCCACCTAGATTCTTCTTTCTCAGCTAATGAAGAGTCATGATAAATATTTCCTATTTGCATGCTTAGCATAAAGGAGCCCTGCTAGTTAAAATTAGAAATTTTTTTTAAAGGCCCTGCACTTAATCATCTATATTCTGACTACAATATGTGTTCTTTACTCTTATTCCTAAGAGAGTTGGTGACTTTTTGATGGAGTCATCACCCCTGATGCTATGAGAAAGGAAACAGCCACTTATTCCTTCTTTAGTTTTCCAGCCCTCACTTCCCCAGCAAAGCATTAGATTAACATAAAACACATCTGCTTCAGAGCACAGAACTTCTTTATATAGATTCTAAATGCATGATTGCAAATTCCAAAATGTTTTATTTCTCAATACCATTGCTATGTATATAATTCTGACAGTTCCTGTCATGATCAATCACTTTAAACTATTTTTGGGTATACAAGGCCTTAATTACCCAAAAGGCAGTTTGCCCTCAATACTGAAGGTTCTTATTCTTTACTTACTTTTCAAAACATACGACACCACTAGCCATCTGACTTTAAAATTCTCATATGAAATACATAGTAGATTTCTATGTCTACTGTAAAACAAATTTTAGACTAACACCCTTTTTCTGAAAGTAACTGTTTCTAGAATTGTCAGTTTTATGAAATGAGCTTATATTTTAAACACTGCATATTCTGAACATGCTTTAAGTGCTACTTACCTCTAAAAGATAAGGCTCCATTTGATCCAGTGTTTTTCCTAGATGTTTATCTGGATCTAAACCTGCCAAGATATATCAAAATATATTTAACAAATAAAATAAGTGAAAGAAGTTTAGACGTCAAAGTAGATTTTTTTTGTAACATTGTCCTTTAGAAGCCAGTTCCTGTATATTTAAAATCATTTTGATCCTAAAGTAAATGTACTTAGCTGGAATTCTCTCTTATTCCCTTTGGGCAACCAGTTTCCATGTTTGTAGAAAATAAGGTTAATTTCCTTTGCACTGTGTATCAACTGGAAATTTCATTGTTTTACTGTATGCTTTCATTTCTCAGAACTTCATCAAGCACAAGGAAATGTAGATAATTCAAGTTCATAGTAATAAAAAAAAACTACCACAGTCTGTGCAAGATTATATATGTAAATACAGTAGGAACCTCAGAATTACTAACACCTCAGGAATGGAGGTTCATACCAGAAATGTTTGTCTCTCTGGACAATATGTAATGATTGTTCTTTCAAAAGTTTACAACTGAACATCGACTTAATACAGCTTTGAAACTTTATGATGAAGAGAAAACACTGCTTTCTCTCTTTTAGTAGTTTAAATTAAATTTAATACACTACTGAACTGTATTTGCTTTGTTTTGGTCTAAGTTCTGCTGCTGACTGATCGTGTACTTTTGGTTCCAAATGAGATGTGCAGGTGGTCAGTTTGTAACTCTGAGATGCTATAAAAAAACCTAACTCCATAGTTCCCCCATTATTCAAAAGTGACAAATTTACCTCTACTATTTTCTATTACATATGCCTTTTGCCAAGCCGCATACTGTATTGTGTGTATGCATCTCTCTTTCAACACACACTGACACACAAAGCATAAAACTTGGATTGTCTCTTCTCTTTGGAAGACAGGAACTCCTTTGTTCTTCCATTTCTTTTTGTTTCTTTAAGGTTTCTTGTGTTTTTGATGGTTGTGTTTTCATTTTGACTGAACAGTTCTATTTTAATTGAGGTATAAATATTTGATAATTACCTTCTTTTTATAAACAGATTCATTTAACTGGCAGGCCTGCTGACTGGGGGTGAGGGAGGAACAATTGCCTTTTTGTATAAAAAGGGCCAAGAACTTCTGGCTGCTGCCTCCACCACTACATCAGCTGGAGCCCCAAACTCTTTAAACAGCTGTCGGAGTACCGCAGAACTTAAGGTTGAGGAGGCTTGCTGCAGTCCAGGTGGCACTGAGGGCTGGCTTCCCCAGCTCTGCTCTTTCTGCTTGAGGCCCTGTCCCTTCTGGGGGTGGACAGCAGCCCACCCCCCATATTGCCCAGGAGCCCGGTGAGGCTGGCGGTCCCACCTTTGCTCCAGTAGTAGCTTTTTGCCTTTGTGTTTTGTCAATAGACATACCATTTTAGGCTGTGATGTAATCAGTTCTTGGGAGCAGAGCATATAACTGGTGCTAGTCAGTTTTTGGATAAAAAAAAAAAAAACACTTCATGCCCATAACACCATAGAATCTGCTGTATAAGGTAACTTTTCTCCTTTTACATCAGTACAAAACAAATATGCAAGGGGGACACTATGCTACTTGAATGTGTCATCTTTCAGCTGAAACTTAGAAACAGAGGTCCTAATTACTTGAAGTTACTAAATATCCATTGGTGATTTTTAAAAGGGTAGGAATGCTGGGAAAACTACATCTAAGTAATGACATATTGCCACCTGTACCTAAATTATTTCAAAATTTTCACAGACACAGTATTCACCTTTATTTCCCAGACTATCCTGTCACCCAACATGACTGCATTTCAGGAATGGAAGAAGTAATACCTATAGTATAGCTCATAAAGCACTCTAGGATTCTTCAATATGAAAGTCATTATATAAATGTAGGAATATTAATATATTTATGCTAATCTTAGGTAACTAGCATTCATTCAAATCTGGTGATGACAGACTTAGATTATTTAAAATTCTATGAAGATAAAATAATTTAAATAAATGAGATTTCAAAACATTAAGGAAGATTTTTAAGATTCTATTGAAACACATTGTGAATTATTTTATGACCTGAGGAAAATAGTTTAAAAACTGCTTTAATGACTAAAATAGGAAGTCACTTTTTTAATATCATTACTGGAGTGAATCTTCATGTCGGTATAGATTTGATATTGTAAGCTGAATCTTCAGATAAGATTGTTTGTGGCCAATACAAGAAACATTTTAAAATATTTTAATTTTATTTTGAGGGTTATATGAGGTGCTCCAAGACAATCTTGGTCCCACTGAAATCAATGTCAAAGCTCCTACTCATTTCAATTGCAGAGGAGCAAGCTACCACTACATTATTTCTAAACATTCATATCTGCTGTAGAACATGATGAGATTTCTGTATGCTTTATTTGCAATTGTTTTAATATCTGTAAATTTTTTATTGATTCTTTTAAATTATATTAGTAAAATACTGTATCTACATGTTTGTATTTTTTATGTTTACTACTATTTTTCCCTTTTGGTCTAGGTTTGCCTACTTATTTGGCTACTTTAGATCTCATTACCTGTGCTGGCAGATGGTGTCCATTTGCCTGTTTTTATCCTTTATTATTATTTTAACAATAGGGAATTATACATGTACCATCCAAAATGCATGAATTTATGTCAAGAAGATATATTCTACAATTATGTTGCAAATATAGATTTGAGTTAGGTTCTATAAAGATTTTACCATGACTGATGTGGGAGGAAATCATTATTCATGAGTGGTACAGCTGCAACTTGTACAGGTCTTCCAGGGAAAGTGATAGCAACACTGTGACAGGGCAGCCCCACTCGAGGCGGGGGCACCTGCCCAAGCTGCACTGTACGGCGGGCCGCCCCGCGCCGCCCGATTCTGCCCTGGGTGTTCGGCGGCGGCACGGAGCGTCCCTGCCTTGGACGCGCAGAGTGACGTCAGTCGGGCGCCATGTAGACGGGGGCCACGTCACCCAGGCAACGGAGGGACGCCCAAGCGCGAGGGGCGGGGTCACCGAGAGACGCTGGGGTCGCGACCCCGGCGCCAACTTTAAAATGGCCCCGCAGCGCCAAGAGAGGGGGGAGAGAAGGAGCTGAGTGGATCGCCCCGGTCGAGGGTGAGCGGTTTGATCCTGGTAGTTGGGTGTGGGGGGATGCTGGAGCCGGAGGGGAAGGAAGCAGCCCAGGGCAGAGTCAGGCTTGACTGGTGGGCTGATGTGTTAAGGGGTCGAACCCCGTCAGCCGGGTTCAGGTCAAACTGAACCTGAACCCTTAGGGCCCTGGGCTGGGGCTCGTGAGAGTGGGCGGGCCCGGGCCCACCTTCCCTTCCCTCCCACCTTGCCAGGGAGAGGGAAAACGAAGATAAACGCGTGAAAAAGGGAAACTGAAGGACTCGGAGCTCTAGGACAGGAGAGAGACCTCGGGACAAACGCCGCGGGGCGACCCGGGGCGTCACAAACACTCTGTTGCACCCCAATCCTTGACGTATTTTGTTTATAAAATGCATTTTTCTTATTTTGTTTTCTTACTGGTTTTGATCTTATTTTGCTTTTTGTCATTAAGTACTATAGCAAGAGAAACAATGACTTTGTTACAGACAGAGCTCAGCAATATCCACAGTGATGCACAAATGAGAATTGTCTTCCATTTATACAACGATTATGGAGCTAAGGAGATTATAGCTTTCACATGGCTACATATTTCCTATGGATCAGATCCTCATCTCATCATAGTAAATGGCAAACAGCCTACTGGGAGACAGATCATTAGATGATACTCTGGAATAACTCCATTGACTTCAACAGAGTTATGACAGTTTATATCAATACAGAATATGGACCACTTATTTTAATGGATCCAGGATTTGGCTATATATGTCTCCTGATAAGAAAACATATAAAGGAGTTAATACTGAATAATAAATTACTACATCATCTCTGCAAGTTTCCATGGACTATATATTAGCACATTACCTTTCCTTTCTCAAAAGAAAAAGACACGTTTCTTAAATGAGCCTAATATTTTTCTTATTATTTTGAATTTTATTTCTATCTTCTACAGAGCTCCTACAACGCCACCCAAATTGTCATCAATCAATTGAAAACTTTATAAATCTCTATTCCAGGAGTCCCAAACTCAGTAGCCCATCAACAGGCTAGAACCGTGTTTCTCAACCTTTTTTTTTTATAAAGGACCCCTTTAAAAAAATTATAAGTACCTCCAGTACCTACAGTTTTCAGACACACAATATTTTTTTCTACCATTGCAACACATTTGTTTAAAGAACTTAATCATAGCTAGGCAGGCGATTACATTTGTGGGTGTAAAAAGTACAAAAATAATAAAGCGCTATAAAACTTAAAACAAAAATTCAGTTTTCTCAAAATTTCAGTTGTGTTGACGTACCCCCCAGACTTCATACTACCTGTTGAGAAACACTGGGCTAGAGCATATTCTCAATCTGGCCTGGGAGACCAGGCATCCCGGAACGGTGGGTCTGAACGCATCCCCCCAAACCTTGCCCCTTCCCACCACTGCTCTGCCCTCTCCCACTTCATGACACCCTGTCCCAGCGTGGAAGGAGACATGGGAAAACAAAGTGGAGTGGGTGTGCCCACTGAATATGCTCCACTTTCCCATGGCTCCTGCCACTGAAAGCCTTGAAGGGGTCCCAACATCTTCTGCTCCCGTATGCCAGCCCCCAGTAAACCCTAAGGCTGATTCCCTCAGGCTATTTCTAGACTACTTCGAAAAAGGATATGCAAATTCTGCAGGAATTTGCATATCTTCTTCCAATCACATTTTTGAAAGAAGATCTTTCGAAAATGAAAGCAGTCTGGATGTGTTTTTTTGGGGGAGGAAAAAAACCTTTTTTTAAAAAAAACGCTCATTCTAAAAAAGGAGGTTTACGCGGTTTTTTGAAAAAGGGTTTTTTCCCCTCCAAAAAAATGCGTCCAAACTACTTTGATTTCGAAAAACCCACTTTCAAAAAAGCAATCGGAAGAAGATATGCAAATTAGCACCGAATTTGCATATCTCATTTTGGAAAAAAA